GTAAAAAATTCTGAATTGTTGTGATAGTAAGAATATTTAATGTGAGCATTCTGGCAGTTGTACCAGTAGAAGTAGCAACATTTAGAGCAGTGTGAAATCACTGATTCTTAAAGATGAAACATGAATTAGGTGTGAAGAAATGAGTCTGAGAAAATCTCTTTGACATTCTTGGAGCTGAGATTTCCCCTGTGTGTGGAAGCCATACCATGTTATAACAGAAGCTTTATACATCTGCGTGCACTCATTTTGCACAGGTGTGAACTGATTAGAGTAGAATAAATAAATCTTCCATAGGAAAAAAATCATGCTTAGCATTATGGAATTGCTTTCTAAGTGTGCATTTTACTTATTAAGAAAATAACAAATGTTTCAATATTTCTAAGGATCTCTTTGAAATATCTTCCTAACTAAGAATTTCTCTTTAGTTTCTTAGAAAATCAAAGTTTTTAAAAGCTTGAAACAAATTTTCCATAAAACTGTGTTTAAAAAAAAAATAATAAAAAGAATCTTCTTCAATTTTGCTTTCTTAGAAATCTTAAAAGTCCTATCTCTTTTTCAGAGAACTTTTGGAAGTTTGAAAACGACTACACATAAATTATCTGAAAGGTATGTCTGATTAAAGAGATCTAAAAATTATTTATTTCTTTAGCCTCCTTTTATGAACAGCAAGTAGAAACATATAGACACTTTTCGTATATATGGAAGCAGAAAAGGAGATGCAGCAAGTACCAGTGCAAACTCTGTAAGCAGCAGTATACTTATTTAGTATTTAATGAACCTTACTACCATAAGACTGAAATAAATTTTCTGAGGAAAGATCACAGTAAAAGTAGTTATCAAATATACATTTTGCAGCAAAAATTAATTGGACACTGGCCAGAAAGTTCTAAGAAAACACCAATGTCCAATGTGTACAGATGTACATCCATACAAATAGTATCCTTGTAAACATTATGGCTAATATTTGATATTGGAGGGGTATTTGTTTCAAAACAATGGCACATAGGGGTTCCATATTCATTGATAGGTGATTTATACACTCAAAACCAATAGGAATCTGATCTAGGTCTGGAGTGACTGCTTGGTTATATTTCTGATGTGGCATGTGTGCTGTGCCAGAGCACAACATATGGTGCTTGGGCTGCCTTTGTGTAGCTTTGTAGATTATACTTGATCTGATGCTGAGTATGCCAGAATAAAACTGCCCTATCCAAATATTTAGAAAAAATTCTAAGGAGCACTATGAACATGTACCAGTTCTGTACTTAGTAATATGTGCCTTCAGCTCTTTTCATCCACTACCAGAAGCTTAAAGATTGTTTTATTTTCTTTGAGAGCTTATTTAATTTTCTGCGGAGGGAAAAAAAAAAAAAAAAAATCCAGCATTTTCTTATGCTGAGCTTCCTAGTGCCTGGGATGATTCTGTGGTTTGGATTTAGGATGAGAATAAGGTTGATAAAACACCAATGTTATAGCTGCTCACAGAGTTTATGCTAAGTCAAGGACTTTTCAGCTTCCCATACTACTCACAGTGAGGAGATGGGAGTGCACAAGGTGTGGGAAGGCCATAAAACCAGGAAAGCTGATCCAAACTGGACAAATGGATATCCCATACCATATGCTGCCATGCTGAAACAGAATTAAAGGAGTTAGCTTTGACAGATGCCACTGCTAGAGGACTGGCTGATCAATTACATTGATCAATTACATTGCTCATCAATTGCTTTATTTATTACTGTTGTTGGTATTGTTTTCTTTTAGTTGTGTTGTTTTTTATTTTTCCTATTTCATTTCCTTTCCTCTTTTCTCTTATTAAACTATCCTTATTTCAATGCACGAGTTCTTGTGCTTTTCAATTTTCTCACACGGAGAGGGAGGGAGTCTGTGTGATGTTTGGCTATCTGCTGAGTTAAACCACAACAAAGCAGGAAAGGACAGAATACTCTTGATCTAACTCGACTACATTTTAATCCAAAGGAACAATCAAGTGTAAACTTACAATTAGATGCACATCCAAAATAAGGAATTTAGATTTGAAACCTAACTTCATTTCTTAAACGTGAAATCTTCCTGAGCTATACCAAGATTTCCTAGAGATTAGGAGATTAGGGGAAAATTTAGATTTTCAGTTGGGTGATTTCCTTCTCTTAGAGGTTTTAATAAAAAAGAGATCAGTGTTTTATTATTTGCCTGCTGGTTTTTTTTTTTAATTATTATTATTAATATTTTTATCTGTCTTTGTATTTCTGGCTTTTGTCTATGAGCAGATAATAATGTCCTGAAATTTCCTGGGAAGTTTATGCTTTATTCAGCTATTCCCTTACACTCCTTTGGAAGAGAGAGTTTGCTTCAGTATGGACTGGAGAATGAGAACATGAAGGGCTGAAATCACACCTGCAGCTGGTGGATGCAATCTCATTTCCTGAACTTTATAGACAAAAGAGTTCTGATTTCTTCTAGCTGACCCTTCAAACCTGTTAAGCCTCAGTTGCATTAATTACAAATAATTCCAGCTGTTCCCAAAGGAGAGTTGCACAGCATGCTTGGATTCAAGATCTTCCACTACAGAACAGTGCAGGGACAGATCACAGCCAGATAGAATAGGAAATTAAAAAACAGGTGAAATCTCTACAAAACATGTCCGCCTTAATCACATCAAAAGTCATTAAAGTTTTCCAAATTTTAAGCATACACATTAATTTCCTTCTCTTTAATTCGTTCTTTTGCTGTTTGAATATTTCGTACTAAAGACCCTTTTAAAAGACGGAAACATCCATGTAATCACTTTTTGAAGTGGACATAGCTGCCAAGCCCAGCTTCTGTTAGCAGCTGCTCATTTATTTCCACTTTTTCCTCCTTTCTGTCGTGTTTATTTAAGTGTTTTAATGAACTTGATTTTAGGACCTACATATAGCCATATGTTGTGGCAAGCTAGAATTACTCTTCAGGTCATGCACTAAAGAGTTTGGTCCATTGAGTATGGTGGTTAAAGTCTCTGAAATCTAATCCTACTTTTGCTCTGTCAAGCCTTGCATGGCTGACAGCAACTCAGCAGTAACGAAAGGTCAGCTTAGAAGTCAAAGACTTACAACCTCTAAGTCTCATTTGCCTCAGCAAGTTTGCTCTTATTTCTTTCCCAATACTTAAAAATGAGAAGGCCTATTCAAGAAACCACCTGCTTTTAAAAAAGCTTCATATTCAGTTTCCTGTAAAAATAGAATTCAGACATAAAAAAAAAAAAAAAAAAGAAATAAATTAAATGGAACAAAGGAGGTAAGCCCAAATTTTTTTGCTATAAACAGATCTACTGTCATTTAGGGTAAATGATCAGTGAAATAAACTCAGTGCTCAGCAGTTTCCCTCATGGCTTGAGGTGTAGTCTTTGACTCTGGTATTGCACACGTTGTAGTAGTGGTGGCCCATGTGCTTCTTTTGCCTTAAACTTGAGGTTTCATTCCTGTTCGGAATAGCATCTATAGATTATTAGAGCGCTCCTAGTCACTGACTCAGCTTTGCTAGTTAGTGTGTTTCAGAATGGAGTTGAGGTTCATTTCACCTACCATCTTCTTCATCCATTTGCTTGAGGAGAAACTATATGGTCAGAAAAACTTGGAAAAGATTGTCTTGGAACGGGTACGTACAAGATATTCTTTCACATTTCACCAATATGTAGGCATGTAATTCACAACCCTTTGTAATTTAGCAAAACATTAGATGCAAGATCAGAAATGGCACTAGATGAGATCCTCATTTGTACCAGAGAGAAATATGAGGACTTGAAAATTGTAGACTTTGCTCTTTTATCCTGATGATTTGTAAATCTCTGTGTAGATCCAGAGACATAAGAGAAGGGATGCATATATTCCTTCTGCTCTTTCCCTTGAAGCTCTACACACACCTGAGGACAGATAACTGTTCTTGTAAATTCTTTCTCAACACATCAGTTTTCTCTATGGTATATGGAAGTTGCTTTAATTCTCAGTATTTATTACTAAAGCTTTTCAATGCACGCTCGGGGTTTTGCCAGAACAACATATTTCTAAGTAGCTTGAAATAAATAAACAGATAAAATAGATGCCCTTGTATTTTACTGTTACTCTTTTGTTTGCATAGAATACTCAGAGCAAGATAGCCTTTCTCACTTTCTTCTCATTTCTATTTCATTCACACTACATTTTAAATCATGAGGGAGGAAAATAATAGAAGTTTGAAAATTGAAACAGCTGTACCAGAATCAGAACAATGCCATGGTTCATTTCAGTTTTTATTTCAGATAAATTTAACACTCTTGCTCTCTTCCTCTGGCAGCTTAATATGGAAATTGTTTAGTTTAATTATTATAAATGGTCCTGTCAAATAGAGAAAATCACCATGGCCCAAATAAATCACGACAGTATTACGGATTCTTAATTAGAACAAATCCCTAGTCTCAATTAAAAATGAATGTCTGTATCAAGAATCAAAGAAGCTTTTATTTCTCACTCATATTTATATTTGGGAAGGCATCTGGTCTATTTTAAGTGTTTTTTTTTCAATTCTAAAGAGGGTGGAATCTTATAGTTCAATTCTATAAACTGAGTCTTTCCCTACGAGACTCTGAGACATGATCTTGTTATGAACTTCTTGGGAACAGTCTTACAGAAGTGCAGGGAATCATTAAAATTAAAGGCAAGGGACATGTATACATAGGGCATGTGCAAGGATATTGCCAAAATAAGTACATACTCTGTCCAGTGGTCTGCAGTGAAGAGACCGTGCAGCTCTACTTCACCTTCTTAGATTTGGTCTTCAGTTCACAAGTTGCAAGACTACAATAAAAAAATAATATATATATATATGTGTGTGTGTTTTCAGTCAGTGCAGTGCAGAATAATACAAGCAAAAAGAAAAAAAGAAAAAGAAGAAACCTTTTCGGATAGGATAAAAGGTTTGAAAGTGTGAAAACAGACTGGCAAACTTAAAAATACGAGGATAGATAGACAGACAGACACATGGACAGATGGAATTCCTCTGTTCTTTTATTTTCAATCAGTAGGAATATTTCTTCAATGAAGAACTCTTGGAATCGCTTTTCTTCATGGGAAAATATAAGTCTGAAAAGCGGAACGGAATCGTTTAGAAAAAAAAAAATAGAAAGAAAGAGATGTAAGAATGTTTATTTAACTAAAATAGATGAAATGTGTGGTTTTATTCTTCCTGCTAGTACTGAAACATATGGACTTTCCCGAATAAAATTTCTCGAAAAACTTTCCTTGGGGTAATCAGCTTCATTTACAAGTCCTCATGCAAAGGCATGTTTATCACAAATCATTACTCTCACATATCCCTTCCACTAGAAACATCCGTTCACCTATTCCTAGTTTGATCCTAAACTTCATCACTGAATGCTTTATGGTTGAAAGTAAAGAATTTAGTAAGTTAAATAGGAAAGTGATACTATATCTATGTCATATTCTGAGTAACCTGAAGAAATGTTCAGTATAATATAAACAACAGGCAAGAAATATGCAAGACCACACATGAATAAAATGAACAGAATATTCCTTAATATTCTACAAGATATACCTTTTTTTCCAGGCCACACAACCAGATCACTTATATTTTTATAGTTGTCTCTGATCATCAAATGCAGTTCTGGACAAACTACTTAGAAGTCTTATTGTAACCAAGAAGGCAAATTGGAAGGAAAGATAAGGAAAGAATGCTGGTCCTAAAATGTTACTCATTCAAGGCTTGCCTACAGGTTTACAGTCCCGCACAATATCAGAGCTAAAGCTATAAACTTCAAAAAATTACAATCTTATTTCTCCTGATGTTTTTTTACTTTTTATCATCAGGTGAAAATTTGGTTGTATTTAAAAATCAGGGTAGAAAAAATCTGCAATTGAAAGATAAGAATATAAAATATGGAAAAAGACTTATTTTAATTTATTCGGGGGGAAGAGATTTTTAACATTTTTCTGTATGTAAAAATCTCCCAGAAAATAGGATTTTTAAAACTATACCTTTATTTAAATGGTGAAAGTGTTTACTGCATCAGTAATGCGTATATTGATAGGCAAAGTTCATCTTAGGATAACAAGGTTCTTGGAATGTTTAGCCCTATTTATGCTTGAATGCAGAGTCCCGCTATATCCGTAAATTCTAAACATTCAAAAATGTTTAGTGACAGTTACAAAACAAAACCAGTACATACTGCCTTTTTTATACTAACAATTTTTTAAAAAAATTTTATATACATATATATCTTTGGCAGTGGAGTACAATATATATCAGCTATGATGATTTAAAAAAACACGTTGTGTCTTGTTGGCTGACATAGGCTGGAAGTTAAAATTTGGTCTGTATTGAGAAATGATCCATTGTGTTAAAATTCTTAATTAATTTTTTTCATGATATAAATACATAGAACTTATTTTAGTTATTTACATTTCTGATCAATTCTAACAACAACAACAACATAATCTCCTCTGGAATTTTTGACTCAGTCTCCATCATGAATAGATACATTTGCCTTAAACACTCAGCAGGCTTATAGTTGAGGAAGGAAAATTTACTTTCTATGCTTCTCACCATGAAGTTTGAGAGGGTTGTACTCTGACTGCCTACTAAACTATTTTTATGAAATGCCTGAGCCACTCTCCAGGACTGTCACATTCAAGGTCCTTTACACAAGATGAAGCCAAACAGGGAGTTGTGTTTGGACTTTGTACTCCTTGCAGCCAAGTACCCTCTATCTCAGATGTCAGACTCTGGAAATCTTAGGTAGCAGCTGGTATTAATGTGAAACACGTTCAAATTTGGGGACATTGTATGTGAATGTGACCTAGGAGATATTTGGATTTAGATCTCAGCTTTCCAGTCATTACACACAGGAGCATGGAGATTACTCTGGCAAATATCTGCAAAACAGGCGGAAAAGAGTGGGATAGGAATGACTGAGCAGACCTACTGGAAAAGTTAAAGTAGGCTTCATTGAAGATGGTGGGCTTTGAAACTGGCATGGGCCTTGAAAATACAGAAGTTCTCTTCTGACATTTGGCAATCCTGACTGTCTATTGATTTATATCAGTTGGTAATTTTAGCTACTTTGTTAACATCAGCCAATAGCCACACCACTAGATCAATATGTGTGTTGTAACTTTCTGTATCTTCTACAGATGTGATCATAATCACATGCAAGGTATTTCTTGCCTTGTGTCACAGACAATAATCAGCTATTAACCCATCATAAAATACATACGTAAATAATAGAAAGCAGAAGGCATTTTTTAATAATAAACATAATCTGAAACAGGCAAAGATCAAAACTCAGCTGTGGAGATATGTGATTACTACCATTCAGGGTAAGAATTTCAACATATTTCTGAAGTTTTCAGATAATCAAGCAATCCAAACTGAACCACCAACAGAAGCGAACTAAGCACCGCTGGTTTAGATGGCTGCTTTGATCAAATCAGACTCTTTTATTTTACTGTCCTGAAATTATCCCTCATCCTGAGCTTCACTTGAAGTAATTAGTTGAGGCTTATTGATTTCTTTACATAAATACTTTAATCTCGGCACTGCAGATCTCAGCATATCACTTGTCAGATCCACTTGAATAAAACTCACACATAGTACAAAAGAGGGGGTTGTGACCGGGGTTTGCTTTGGCATGAAGGATAGGATACAGTGCTGCCATGTACGTGGTGAACCACAAAACTTATCCTCGTTATTCTTGTCTTCTTGTCAGTGCTTGATTATACATTTCAGAACACATTGTGGTAGGTCTATGTGAGGAAGGCGGGCAATGTGGAAAGAATGAAAGAAAAGCATCTTTACCCATGGTTGAGTATGTGTTCAGGAACCATTTCTGGGCTTAACAGCACATAGTCTAAGTGGAAACAGCTTCAAACCAGAAAGATGATGGAGATTTTACAAAGCAATCAAAATCCTTAAATCCAGTTCAGCCAGTACCTGGACCCTAACTGTGCAGGTCAAATCATGGGCATTTTTAGTTTTAGCTGTGGGATTGAGGGTCTGAGAGAGGTGGTGCAGCAGAGTCTCCTCTGCGTTTGCAGCACTGGAGCTTGGATTAAAGTCTCACACTGACCATTTAAGCATTTGTTCGTACTTCCTGGCAGTATGATACGCTTTCACAGCAAGGTTAATCACTTTCACTGACAAAGCCAAGTGTAATACAGGCTCTTGGTCTATCAGCCTGAAAGTCAAATAGGTAAGATATACGAGATCAGGAAGTAAAACAAATCTGTAGCTTCCTCTAGCAAAGTCTGTACTCAATATCAAGTTCCTCCTGTGTATGGCTCCCAGCTGTATTCATCATACAAAGAGTCAAACCATAACTGTTGTTTAATTTATGGATTTTTATTTTTTTTTTTAACTGGGAAAGACACATTATTCCTGACTTGCTCCCAAACAGAGAAAAAGGCAGAACCTCTTGACCGTGTCAGTCCACCTGGTGACTACAAAACCAGCTGAACAGGTGAGCACAGCATTAGGAGTGATGGCAAATGTCATGGGGCCACATGCTCTCAGAAGTCATTGGCAGCTTTGTCACTGCTGTTCCAGTCTTTCAGCAGGGAAAGGAACAGCTCCATGGCAGTAATGCCTGGAAGAGTGCCCAGATACTGATGGCAGATTTTTGGAAGCACAGTTTCTGATAAGTAAGAAACCTCCAGGTTTGGGACTGGAAAGTGGAGGGGAAAAAGTTTCCTTCAAGCTAAATCTCATTCTGTTTCTGGAAAGAGGTATATTCGCCAGGGAATTTACACATTTAAAATCTATTTTCAGGAACAGATGGAAAAAAATGTTCACTGAGAATAAAAAACTATCTGGAGAAAGAAAAGAAGAGACAAGCAGTAGTGAAAGAGTCCTTATGAAAGGTCGTTTATTAGAGAGAAAGGGAAGACTGAGATCAGAATCATGATCTTAACAAGATCCAGTCCAGGGTGGTATTCTTTAATGGAAAACTTCTGACAGATTGCAAAGGGAAGCAGTCTGAAAACTCTGCTTCCCAAAGGCCCTCATGTGATTTTGATTTGAGAGCATGAACAGTGCTGAACCCAAATGGCAGGACATCTGCTGACTAAAGCCTAAGAGAGTGCTTTCAACTTCCAGTCTTTTCTCAGTTGCAAAGAATTTCCCCATCGTTTGTAATATTTCTGTTAACTGTTTCTCCTCCATATTGTAAAAATATGTGTCAATGTAAAGCTTTATGAAAAAAAAATCTATCTATTATCACAGACATCTATTTTTGCAAAAATAATTGTAGCATTTTTTTTCATCTTATATCAAGGTCAGTAGTGTGCAGTAACATCCTGTTAGCTTAGATGCAACGTGTATCACACTTATGGAATTATAGAATCATCAAGGTTGAAAAAGACCTCCAAGATCATCCAGTCCAACTGTCCACCAATCACTTGTATTTCCCACTAAACCAGGTTCTTCAGTACAATATCTAAACAATTCATGAACACCTCCAGGGTGCCTCCCTGGGCAGCCCATTCCAGCACCTGACCACTCCTTCAGAGAAGCTTTTCCTAATGACCAATCTGAACCTCCCTGGCACAAATTGAGGACACATCCTTATGACAAATAATTGCATTCAAGTTTTATTCTATATTGTAGTTCCAAAAGTGATAAAATGAGCTAGCCTTTCACATTCATTTCCCCATTTACATTTTGCCTTATTCCAAATATATGCACATTGTATGCTGACATTTTCAAGATGTAAATGACATACATGAGCCAAATTTTGTAAGAAAATTATGAAGCAAGTTGGTTATAAGTGTTAGCAGCATTTACAAGCTACTAAGTGCATCCAATATCAGCAACATGCTGGTGTGCTCTGCAGTTTTCTGTTTCACAGGACACTGGTGGTTGCAAATTAAAGAAGAAAGTGAACAGTAATCTTCAACTTTGGTATTTTCTAATGATCATAAAATGAGTAATGCAGCTTTCCTGTTGGCAGCGGATATAGTCAGATCTGACATTTTCAGCAACAGGTGTTTTTGCTCTGCAGATCTAGGGCACATGCACCGACCTTCTTCTTCATCTTTGTCCTCACACCTCCTGCTTTTATTACCTTGGG